TTCTTTCCTGTGAGGGTGGTGAAACCCTGGCAGGGGTTGCCCAGAGAGGTGGTGGAGGCCCCATCCCTGGGACCATTCCAGGCCAGGTTGGCCGGGGCTGTGAGCAACCTGATGTGGTTCAAGGTGTCCCTGCTCCTGCGGGGGGGTTGGGCTGGGTGACCTCTAGAGGTCCCTTCCCACCCAAAATATTCTATGATTCTATTTTCTCTAGAGCAGAGCTCAGCCTTTGCCCGATGCAGATCGGCGCTGCCGGTATCGCCCTGCGGAGGTGCTGGATGTGGGCTGGAAGGAGCAGCAGGGTGGTGGCGTGTCCCAGCAAAACCGGTGCCCAGCAGCGGGGCAGAGCCAGTTATCTGAAGCTTCCTAGCGGGACCTGCGCTGTAACAGCCTCCCCCAGCCCCGTGCAGACCCCCGCTAGGGGAGGAGGGTTGGTGGGAGGATTCCTTCCGAGATGAAAGGAGCAACAGTGCAGGGAAGGCGGAGGACGGGACAGGGCGAAAACACTCGAGGAAGATCACAAAGAGCAAAAGAAACAGCGTAGGCTGTTGGTGTTCCGTTGTCACGGATAATTAAAAGATCTTCTTCCCAGCTCTCTGTGCCTGCTTGGTGCACGACGCAGGTGCCGCCATGCTTTGAGTGTTCTCTTCTTGTCACTTCTTCTGCAGCACTAATTTTAAAAGCAGCCCGTAAGGGAGGAGATGAGGCATGATCCTGTCTCGGGACTGACTCATCGTGTCGCTGATGTGTCTGCAGATTAATTACCAACCCGTGCCAGGTTGTGCACGCGCGCGTGCCAGGGAGCCGGGGCAGACGGCCGGAGGTGACACGCAGCTGGCTGGGGCTGGCGGGCACCCTCAGAGGCTGCCCACGTCCTGCTTCGGTTTTGGCACGTCCCCCTAGAGCTGCCAAGGGGACGGGGTCTGGCAGCCCCAGCTCCAGCTGATGCTTTTTGCAGCCGCTCGGTGAGCTGGCACAGGGATGCCCCGTCCCCACGCCTGTCCCCATCCCCGGGCTGCTCGGCTGGGGCATCCGTGGCTCCGCGGGCACCGGCTCGCCCTGAGCTCGCTCCTTCTCATCTCCCAAATGCCGTCATTTCCCAAAACGCGGGGGCAAGCGAAGGGTAGCGGGGCTGCTGTTGTTCGCGAGCCTATTTCTAGCCGCCCGTCTCCCCAGCAGGCTATTTTTAGCCTACCCATTCTGCTTCTGTTGCCATCCGTAAAGCTTAGAATGTCAAATGTAATATTAAACGAGCAGTGTGAAAGCAAAAAGAAAATGCCAGTGAGGTATTTAATAAATGGAATTGGGAATTTACGTGGGAGGCCGAAGATGCTCTCCAGACATTGCGGGGAGGGGGACAAATAAAACCCAAACAAGCTATCCCCGGAATATCGTTCCTCTGGCACAAGCAAGCTGCTTTGCAAAGAGAAACCTGGTTTTCCAAGGGGGTGCAAAAAGCTGGAAAAGAAGTGTGAGGGGGTAACGTATTTTCCCCTGGGTCCCACTGTGATAGAGTTGTTCATGTCCCAGGTACGGGGGGGACAAGCGCCAGCGTGCGGTGGGATGAGCCGAGCCTGGCCCGGGCGCTTTGCACCCGAAGGATCTCCCGTCAGGCTCCGGAGCAGCTGGCAAAGCTGTTAGGCCGTTCTGAAATCGGTGTTGGCGCTGCACGGCACCCATGGCTGTTCCTCTCTGTCGTGGGGGGGTTTTGTCGGTTTTGGGGGGGTTTTTGTGGTGGGCTTTTTAAATATGTCAGCACTGCTGAGGCTTCTCCCGGACCAGCAGCCTTGGCTGCGTGGCGAGGTTTTAGACACGTGTGTCACCCACCACTTGCCTTTGGGGTTTCATCCAAATACTTTGCAGCCTAAGGCTCCTCCGTCCCTGGGAAGACAAGCTCTGCACCATGTGCAGAAGGCAGGAGGGCGCGCGAGGCCACCGGTGCCCGAGGTCCCTGCAGTAGCCAGGAGCAGAGAGACACAGCGCGCAGCCCGCAGGCCACCTCCAGCCTTGCTCAGGTGTTTTGGGAAGCCGCTGGGTCCTTTGCCAGCCGGCCGCCGTGGAAGGCAGAGGTCAGCCCCCAGATGTGGTGCCGGGCCCCGCGCATGATCCTGCTGCCTCTCCGGTTGGTGCCTTACTGGTGGCGGGGGCACGGGAGGGGACACGGCGAGCATAGTGCAGGGGTGATGCCTGTTGGGCTGCTCGGCTGCCGCAGGCACGACCCCGGGCTGCAGGCGTTTGGGGCTGTGGTAGGTAGGTAGTGATGGAGCAGATGTCTTCGGGGAGGCTGGACCAAGTGCCCCAGCCATCTCTGCATGTGAAGCCTCTGGGTCCAGGAGCGGCTGTAGGGCTGACAATGAGACGTGCCATTGGCTTGCCCAGCGGGCACGTCAGGGACAGAGGGGAAAGTTATAGGACATGAAAGATTTTCTTGTGGGCATGTGCTTAATCTGGGTCCAGAGATCACCCTTCTCCCTTGGGAGGAATTTGTTTTAGTGAGCGTGTTTTGATGCTTCTGTCCCAAATCTGCGAAGCACGTGAGCTCATCACACCTTGCCCTTCCCTCACGCCTCCCAGCCCACCATGGGGGCATTAACCCTTGTTTTACAGTCAACACAAGTAACCAGAGAGTTAAGAACCAGCCTCCAGTAGCCAGAAATTAAATGCAACAGCTCCAGTTCAAGGACCCTACTGCAATCCCTGGGAAACTCTTTGGAGCTAGGGTTGTCCCTTGGTTTGACACATCTGTAGGACCTACCAAAAGGGCCTGTCATCATGAACGGAGTATACAGGCACCGAGGCTAAAAGTGTGCTGGAGTCTGGTTGTCAGCAAGTCACAGGAGAGCATCGCTGCTCCTTGGTTCCTACTACAGGATTGCTACCGGCTTGTAGAGCTGGAGCCTGACGTTGTGGGAGATGGGCACTGCTGTGAACCGTCGTGCGAAGAGGCCAATGGTTGTGGTGCCAGGTTCTCTGCAGAGGGCTCATTGCGGGCGTGAGGGCCATAGGACCCTGTGCTGGGCAGGCGGGTGCTCAAGGTGTCCCACATGGGTGATGCGAGGCAGAGGCTGAAGGTGCGGTGGCTTTGGAAGCCCCACCTGTCAGCTGAAGGACACTGCAGACCACTTGCAGGTCAGATGCATTCCTGTAGCGTTGTCTTCAGTGTGCTTTAGATGACGTAGGTCGGGAGCTGTGCAGCGACGCCGGGCTCGCTGGGGGGGCTGGGTGCTCCAGCCCGCCCAGGACAAGAAGGAGCTGCCCGACCCTGGATGGTACCAGGTGCTTTGGGGACAAACTGAACTGATGAATTACAAGAAACTCCAGCAGGCTTCTCTGCTCTCCCGTAGCTTCCCAATTCTCCTCTTACGGTCCAAGGACGCGCTGAGCAGCTTCTGACCCCCTTGTCCCCCACCCCACCTTATAACTTCTCTTCTGTTGCCTGGCGTAGCCCTGCCTTTGTGCCAGGACCGGGCAAATACAGATCTCTCTGTTAGAGGAGCGGTAGCCTTGGCTTGCCGTGACACGGCGTCCCCACGGTAATCGGGTCTCAACTACCTGGGAATGGCACGTTGCTGGCCAGACAAAGTCGCCTTGTCTTTGGGTGGTAAAATGGTTTTCTGTGCATTGTGAATGAATTCTGCACATTCTGCTTTCCTCAACATAGCCCTGGTTTCCCTGGAAAGCCGTTAGCCAGGGGCTTTGGGGCGTCCTGGTGCGGGGGGCTGACAGCCCCTGTTGTTGCACTGGGTATAAGAGGCTTTTCACTCCCCATCTCGGTTGTCCTGGGTTCCAGTGGCTCTGACTGCTCAGCGTGACCCAAGAGTACCCCAGTGTAATGTTAATTCTCCAAACTAGACTAAACAAAAATAGTGAATTTTAGTTTCCCTGCCTTTTTTTTTTTTTTTAGCCTTAGAGTTAAAACTTTCTTTGTTAGGCTGGTGAAAGTGAAGCACATCCCTCCTACAGGGGAGGTGGAAACAAATCTGGAAATTATTAAGATGCACAGAAATGCTGAACTGAAAGCTTGTGCAAGATCCAGATTTATGCACAAAGTACCCACGTGGGGTGGGCTCTTGGGGGTGATTTGGTACAGAGCTGAGCTCTGACTCTTAAATCCAGATCCGTTCCCTCTTGGAGAAGCCCCGTTACACATCCCGCTTTGCCAGCACGCACGTGACATCCCTGCTGCCTCCAGGGTTTTACCTTCACGGTACCCATGGCTGTGGGATGGTCATGGCCAGCAGGATAGTCATGGCCAGCGGGATGGTCATGGCCAACGGGATGGTCATGGCCATCTCCATCCCCTTCCCCATGGAGGAGTGGGCTGGCTTGTTGCAGAAGAGCAGCCTGGCCTTTTTTTTTCCTCTTCTGCTGGCTCTGTTGGTGAAGGGGCACCATCCAAGCCCACCACTGGTCCACTAACATGGTGCCTGGCCTCCAGTTGCTGCATTTTCCCCGTTTCCCAACGGGATGGTGCATGGGCACCTTCTGCAGAGCCCCTCAAGGCCGGACGTTGCTGACGGGGGGAGTGGAAAAACCCACCCGGGGCGTGCTTCCGCTTCCGAGGGATGGAGAGCCGGGCCGGGGCTCTATCGCGTGTCCTCCCTCCCGGGGGAAGGAGCCTCTGCTGGATAACAGAGAATATTTTTGCCTTCAGTATGGGGTATATTTGTTTACAAAGGCTTAGGAATTATTTTTCTTCCCTACTGGTGACTTTTTCTTCCTTTTTAAATCCCAGTTAAAACTCCTTTGCAGCTCACTGCCGTTCCCTTTATATCCTCGTGTGCTGTGAAAATCATAAATTACGCTGGTCTTTCAGAGAGCAGCGGTAGGCTGTTTGGTGGCTGCAAAAGCTAATTACTGGGTTATTGTTTCTAACGGTGCTAATCCAAACTTCATTTTCCTGTTAATTGTCCGTCGAGCCGGGCTAGATTGTTTTTATCATCCTGACTGTTTGCAGCAGAAGCAGCTGCAAGGTGTAACCAATGCCGCCGCGACATTTGGAGTGGTGGCGAACCCAAAAAAAAAAACCCTGCGGTTGCGAGATGAAATGACACTCTTCTGGTGCTCACCCCCCTCATTTGGCTGGAGAGATGGGATCGGTAGGCACCCCTTAAATGCCCCTCAGGTTAAAAATAAGCAAAGGACAGTTGGAGAGGATGGTGCTGAGCTGCCGGGGTGGCGTGCGGGGGCTGCCACCGGTGCCCGGCATTTGGAGCTCAGCGTCCCTGGGCTTTCGGGGGCGCTGACGGAGGGGGGAGGCTGCCGGCTTTGGGCTGCGGGGCGTTCTGGGGCACCACAGTTTCAGGGGGGTGCACAGCCCAGTTAGGCTGGAACCCACCATCAAGGCTTAAGCCTGCCTGGGAAGCTCTGAAGGCTTCGTCCCCACTGGGCGCCGGGCGTACTGTGGGGCACCGTGGGGCTCTCCATCGCGCGCTCGGTGGTGTGCCTGCACCGTCGCGTGCCTGTGGGAGCCTGCGTGTGCACGGGCGTGTTTGAGCGTGCGTGCGGGGGACATGGGGAAGAGGTTGGTGGCCCTGGCTCGGGGACACGCTGGCCCTCACCAGGGCCATCACTGGGGTGTTCCTCCCCCGGAGGACTTGCTGCCCCAACAGCCCTGAAGAGGAGACAGTGGAAATCGCTGGCCCTGTTGTGGCTGCGCCTGACTTTTGGGATGCCCAGAGCACCCCAAATGCCTCTGGCTCCTCCCGGCCCGTTTTCCCTGTTCCCGTCGCGCAGCGGTGTCCGGGCTGTGCCTCCCCGCCCCAGCCATCCCTGCTCCCCCTCTGCCCTTCTCCCGCTGCCTCCTGCAAGGACCCAAACACTTCTCAGCAGAAAAGTAGCAAAAGGTGAACTCCAGGAGAATTTTGCTCCAAACTTCCCTGGGTCAGGCGAGCTTGTCCTCGAGAACTGCGTGTTTTGGCAGCGTTGGCAGCGTCTGAGCACTGGAGCTTCGGGAAGCGTCGCAAGCAAAGTAAATCCGGTCTGCGGAGGTTTGCAGCAGAAAGGGGAGGAGTAGGTGGTTTTGTTTCAAATACTCCCATTACGGTCAGTTAACCTTTATGTTACCTAAATGAAAATTGTATAAACCTGAAATTTTCCCTGGTCGGGTTGCCTAGGAACAGGCGGGGGGGTCTCGTAAGGCAATGAACACGCAGTCACTGATGGGGCTGTTAGGCACCGAGACGCGGCCGTGCTACCCTGCGTCCCCCGCTTTGCGCGCCCGCCTTTGCTTCTGCGAGAGGCGGAGGTGATGCGGGAGACGCGGCCCCACTGGGAGCCGACCCTCCTGGTCCTGCACGACGAGCAGCCCCGTTCCCGAGCCCCTGCCCGCCTCGCTGGCGGTGCCACGGCCAGGACGGGGGCGCTGGGGGCGGCGGGGCTGCACGTGGCCATGCTACCATGGCTGCCCGGAGCACGGCCCCGAGTTGTGGTGCCTCTGCTCCCACTCTGGTCTGGCCGGGCAAGGGTTGGGGGGAGTGTAAAGGTGCAAAGAGGACGAGGAACTGGTTGAAGAACAAAGTTAGAGGTGTAACGCTCAACCCTCTGGCTTCAGCCCGAGACCCTTACCCTGAGACCAGCCATGCTCCTCGTGCAAACCGTCCAGGGGGGGCAGGCGGTGCCTTGGGGCTCACCCGCACCCTGCGTGTCTGCACGCTTGCCTGTTGCTCAGAGCACGGACTAAGGTGTAGAGCTGCAGAGCTGGACGCAGTAGTCCAGGTATGAGACCTCCCCTGGAGCCCTGCGTCAGCTCGGGAGCCCTCAGCACAAGGAGGACATGGACCTGTTGGAGCGGGGCCAGGGGAGGGCTACTAAAATGATCCGAGGGGCTACTAAAATGCTCCGAGGGCTGGAGCCCCTCTGCTGTGAGGCCAGGCTGGGAGAGTTGGGGGTGTTCAGCCTGGAGAAGAGAAGGCTGCGGGCAGAGCTGAGTGCGGCCGGTCAGGGCTTCAAGGGGGCCCAGAGGAAAGGGGGGGACAAGCTTTTTAGCAGGGCCAGCTGGGACAGGACAAGGGGGGATGGCTTTAAACTGAAGCAGGGGAGGTTTAGACTGGATCTAAGGAAGAAATTCTTTCCAGTGAGGGTGGTGAAACCCTGGCAGGGGTTGCCCAGAGAGGGGGTGGAGGCCCCATCCCTGGGACCATTCCAGGCCAGGTTGGCCGGGGCTGTGAGCAACCTGATGTGGTTCAAGGTGTCCCTGCTCCTGCGGGGGAGTTGGGCTGGGTGACCTCTGGGGGTCCCTTCCCACCCAAAACAGTCTGTGATTCTATGAAATGGGCTGGGATAACTCTGGTTAGCTCCAAACCAGCTTACCAGCATGACCAGCACCTGTGCCAAGGGAGCACAGGGGCAGTCTGCTGGCGGGGGGGGGGGGCGAGTCAGCAGTGCTGGGGCTGGAGAACATGGAAAAGCACTTTATTTCTCCCTTTTCGCATCCCAAAAGAGGCTGAGAACCAGCACCCGGCTGTGGGGTGGGGGGTCCTGGGGGTCCTGCTGCCGGCTGGGTTGGGTCGCCGCCTCTCAGGAGGTGGTGGCGGGGACTCGGCGCGTGGTGCGAGCGGCGTTCAGCAACTTCAGAAGGCAGCAGGAGTAACTGGAAGGGAAAGAATGCAGGTCGTTCATTAATAGGTTTGCAGAAATTTTTTGCTGGGTAGAAATATTGATTCTTTATTCCTATTTTAAAAGGAGCTTTTTGTACTGATCACCGAGAGTCGTTTTCTGTTATCGATTGCAATAGAGCTGTGCTGGAGACCTCCCTCCATTCATCCCACGCCCACGAGTGTCGTTGAGAGCGAACGCAGCCCCGGTTTTCCTTGCAGGAACACGGCGACTTCCGAAAATCAGCATTTCTGTCATCTTTAGGGGAGGGGGGATTGCTATGGGTGTTTAAAGAGACATAAGCGTTTGCTCTTTGAAATCCGTTTACGCTGTTCTTAAAGTTCACCTTAGAGGGGGAGGCGGTGTGGGGAGGCAAATGCTAAAAATAAAACTCCCCCCTTAAGTAGATCAGTTCTGCATTTGACATTTACATGGCATTCATTTGCATCTCATTTGTACATGTTTCTGCTCAATAGGTAGAATGTAAGAAAGCACAACCTAAAGAAGTGATGTTTCCACCAGGGACGAGAGGAAGGGCACGTGGATTACCGTATACCATGGACGCTTTTATGCTAGGGATGGGAATGTTGGGTAAGTGCCGTAGCCACCACACCTCTCCCGGAGCCAGCAGCTCCCGTGTTGTCTCCCCGATTTCCGAATGCTTAAGCCGTAGGGGTGAGCAAATCCCTGCACTGGGTGCGAGTCTGAAACTTCAGCAGGGGTGGAGTGGGGAAAATAATCCTGACTGTGGTAAATTATTAACTCCCCCCCCCCCCCCCCCCCTCCATCCTCTTTCCCAGCCATACTCACTGCTCTTGCAGGCCACTGATTCATATAAAAATTTGCATTTAAATGGATGTTTTAAATAGCCTGTTTTACTCTTACTCGCAAAAATAGAATGATGAAAGATGCAGTGTGTTCGTTCTGACTAAAAATGATCTCTCCCCCTTTTTTAGAGGAATTGAGTCACACATTATCCCCCTTCTTTTAAAGGTACCTTTGACAGTTCAGCATAGATAATTGAAAATCTTGCCGGTTCTTAACTGGCGTGCGAGATGGAGAAAGCAGGGAGCTGCGTAACAGTATAGGTCACAACAATAATTACAAGTTTCAAGGAGATGGAACGGTATTTTAGTCCAGAGTATTGTGTCCAGAAAATACTAATTAAATGGGATAAATGATATTTAATGGCAAAATTCTATTTGTGCATGAGGTCTATTTAGTTATAATTGGTTCTCATTTGTTTCTGCCGAGATGGTTCTTCTTTCTATATAATGTGACAACCTCTTGATACTCTGTCCTCAGGTTTACTGAGCCCAAATGCTGCTAATCCATTGTTTTTGTAAAACCCCATTTATTTTCAACTTTCTGCTCCCTTTATATCATTGGGCTTGCCCTCGGTTGTCACCTGCTGTGTCCCCAAAGCCCGCATGAACGCGAGGGCACCTGGAGGTGTTCCCAGGCAGAGAGGAGCCTTCCCTGGGCTAGCGTCCCTGGTGCGTGGCCTCGCCGGGATGCTTTGAATCTGCTGTCCTGGGCTGAGATGATCCCAGAAGCTGAGCACAAAAACCAGCCTTGAAAGCTGGTGCTCGGTTGTCCTGAGCTCTGCCGAGCCGGCCCACGGGCTGCCGGAGATGCTGGAGGACGCCGAGGCTCCAGGAGCGGGCGTGGGGTCGGGGGACTCGATTACCCCCCGGTAACGGGGCTGTTGCGCTGAGATGCCTGACTTCAGGCACCGCTTGATTTGATAGGGAAAACTTCCCTGCCATGTTTGCTTTATCTCTGAATTAATAGTACTTCTGTTCGTGTGGCTGGAGCGATCCATTTCTGGGATGTGTAATTTGGTTATTTCAGCTGATCATCTATTTTTCTGTCCCCACACTCCACCGCCACCCTGCTCCGTAGTGTTTGGAAATTACATTTTATGGGTAAAATATTTATCTTCTTCTAGTCAGACTGTGATTTCGTTACCTGTTATGTTCCCAGCGTGCTCGAGCCTACGTCCTTTATTCCTGTTGCTTCTCTTTCTTTTCCGCTTGCGGTGCCTGAGGTTTGGGGTGGTGCTGGCCAGTCCTGCCTGGAGGAGAGAGCCCAGCTCAACCCCGGGTGGGCAAAAAGCTCGGGGCAGATCCCTCTGCTGGCAGCAGATCCCTCACCACCGGCAGCGTTGCCTCAACCCTTCTCCTCGCCGCCAGGCCAGGATGGAATGGAGCTGTGGTCCACCCCAGTGACCTGAAGGGAAAATCCATCCCTCGGGTTGGCGTGAGTCATTCCCACCGGGGCTGCCTCTCTGGAAAAAAAAAGATGATTTCAAGCTGTAAGAAGAAAGGGAAGAAGCCCTCCGCGAGCGGATCTGCGTCTGCCTGTCGGCAAATCCCTGCCCTGCCACGGCGGGGTGGCTCGGGCTGCCCCAGCCGGCTCTGCCCCAGCCGCGCTGGCAACGTGCTCTTATTAGATTCCAAATCAGGGTGACTCGCTCAGAATTAATGATTGATTTGTGTTGAAGGCCAGATGCTTCATTATCTGCTCTAGCTGGCTTTTTCATCTCCCAAGTTCCTGCTTACTACAGTGGCACCGTGTTAAATAATTAAGTGCTAAACAAGGAAATTGCGACGTGGGAGAGCAAGGCTGGCTGGCCGGCCATTATAAAGCCCCGTTTTCAAAGGCTGCCTCTGAGAGTTGGCTTCAAGGGGGGTGATGGGCAGCAGCTCGGCGGGGAGCCCAAATCTCCCCTTCCCACACACCGACAGCTGCGTGGCGGTGGGGCCCCGTCCCCGCAGGGCGAGGGGTGTCCAGTTCTGGGTCCCCGGTTCAAGAAAGATGAGGAACTCCTGGAAAGAGGCCAGAGGAGAGCAACAAGGATGAGGGGGGGACTGCAGCATCTCCCCTACGAGGAAAGGCTGAGGGAGCTGGGCTTGTTCAGCCTGGAGAAGAGAAGGCTGAGAGGGGATCCGATCAACACCTACAAATATCTCAAGGGTGGGGGTCACGGGGACAGAGCCAGACTCTTCCCAGTGGTGCCCAGCACCAGGACAAGGGGCCATGGGCACAACCTGAAGCAGAAGAGGTTCCAGTTGAACGGGAGGAAGAACTTGTTGACTGTGAGGGTGCCCGAGCCCTGGCCCAGGCTGCCCAGGGGGGCTGTGGAGTCTCCTTCTCTGGAGACCTTCAACCCCCGCCTGGCCGCTGTCCTGTGCCCCCTGCTCTGGGTGAGCCTGCTTGGGCAGGGGGGTGGCGCTGGGTGAGCTCCCGAGGGCCCTTCCAACCCTTGCCATGCTGGGATTCTGTGATAATTAACCCATCAAACGACGCGGTGCACGAAGTAACGTCCCGCCGGAGTCAGCACCTGCAGGGGCCGAGCGTTTTGCTGTGATCCCAGGAGGCCGGTGCCAGCCCTACCCCCGTTCCTCCCTTCCGATGCCTACCCGGGCTGAAACACAGTGGCTGGGGCTGCTCTGGAAGGATTTGTATACCTGTTTCCAGAAGCCCTTGCTCAAGGTCACCTTCTCCAGATGCTGTTCATGGGCAGAGGAGGGAATCAGAGGAACGAACGCACCAGACAACCCAAAGGAAAGAGCGGAGAGCGACTCCCTCCAAAGCTATTAAGGAAGTTGGTCTTTTTCATTAATCACAGCCTCCCCAAGGAGCCTGCAGCAGCCGGGGTCTAAAGGTGCGTAGGCAGCCGCTTCTGTGATGATTTGGTTGATTGGAACAAAATTAAAGTGTTCTTCTGAAAGGAATTTCTGACTCGGAGAGCGCGGGCAGGCTGAGCCTTTTGCCAGGACTGCTTCTGGGCTGCCTCGGGCTCGGCCCGCTGGGGGCACGCACGCGCTCTCGGGGGAGAGCAGGAACGTGAATCGGCCGCCCTGCCTCAGGAGGGGGCTGGAGGGGGTTCGGTTCCAGGGATCTCTCCCTCCCTGGCAGCCCACCCAGCAGGAGGAGCAGCTCCCCAGCCCCGTGGGTGCTCGTGGACAGGCACCGTGTGTGTGTCCCCCCCCCAGCAGGCAACTCTCGCATCTGCAGCTGAATGGGATCAGCACGGCAGCCAAGGAGCTCGCCCTGAGCCCAGAAGCCACCCCTCTGTCACCTGGAACTGCTGTGCAAACCATGAGTCCCACCACCCAAGGGCGTGTGGCTGTCACTGCATTGCCCCATGGCTTTTTGCTCTCTGGGCAGGTGAAAACGTGGGGGGAAAAAAAGAGAAAAAAAGAGAGACAAGAAGAAAGCAACCGAGGAGCAACATTAATAGCAGGTCGTCTCTGTCCGCCCCCCCATCCGAAGCAGCTCTGTGCGACTGGGCCATCGCAGCGGCCGTCACAGAGGTCCCGGCGGTGATGCCCGGCTCTGGAGGTGACTGCTTGTTTCTCCTGGCCACGGGCATCTTAGACTTGCTGGTGTTTAATATTAAAGCTGGGCTCTTTTTAACTTGCAAAATCCTCTGCCCCCCGGCCCCCACAACCCCCCCCCCCCCCCCCCCGACTGCCAAAACGATGGCTGATCTGAAGAGCAGATTTCAGAAAGCCTCTTCCCAGGCTGCTTCTATCGCCGCAGAAGGCAGCGCGGGGCTCTGCATTACTGCACCCGTTCAGTCGAGGTAGGCTGAACTCATGCATACAAAGCCTGTGCCCTTCAAAGAAAGTCATTCCCTTTTTCCATCAGACTTGGTTTAATAGAGCAGCAGCTGCCTCTCAGGCAGGAGGTGGGAAGGGGAGCCCTTCGTTAGCATGGACTTCCTGGGAGGCTGGCACGACTTCCCGCATCCCACCGGGCTCCTACAGCAGCCAGCACCGAGGGACGTGGCCGCGGACGGCTTTAGCTTAGCCCTTGGGTTCCCTTGAAGGAGGAGACAGGCCGGCTTTGCTGGACCAAGGGAGAAACTTCCACGGCCGATGCGTTTCCCCTCCATAGCTGCTCCCTAGGACGTGACCACCCACGTGTCTGTATTCCCTGGTGCCACAAGTGCTCATGCCAAGGTCACGGCACGTTTCTTTTGAGGAAGACCCTCAGCATTTTTACTGCAGCGTGGGGCTATGCTTTGGCAGAAGGACCATGCCTTCCCTTGCAAAGGACCTGGCATTCCTTGCTCTGAGCAATGTTGGGAGACAATAATTATTTTCTTGCATTTACTGGAACATTTGAATTCATTTTGAAAGCAGAGGTCCCCAGGCCCCAAAGCGCCGTGTTCCCACGTTTGAACCATGAGCTTTGTCCATCGTGGATCACCAAATTTAAAAATGAGAAGACATTTCCAGAGCCTGGTTCAGCGGTTGGAGCCATTTCTCCCTCTGGAGGTGCTGGTGGGACAGAGGAGGAGCCAGGAGCTGGGCTCACGTCTCCAGTGACCTTGTGCCTGCGCCATGGCAAGCTGCTCGGTTTCCAGGGCCACCATTCCCCTGTGCAGCGTGGAAGGTGGGGCAGTTGGCCCGGATTTCGTAAAATGCTTGCAGTGCCCCTGGGAGGCCGTCCCTGCACCCAGTGGGTGCATCCGTGGGTGCATCGGACCTGCTGGCGTTGATGGGGGCTGGGTGGAAGGTGGTGGTGTGAAAGCAGTTTTGGTTGTTGGTTTGAGTTGTGCTTCCACGGGCAAGAGGGTCTCGCTTTGGAGGAGCTAATCCGGGCAAACTTGGATTTTTGGTTTAGTGACAAGGGATGATTGGATTGATCATTCCACAGGACTGCTGAAGCGAGTAAACTGTTCGGTGCCCAATGCAGGATGAGAATGGCATCTAATGGAAATGGTGGTAGGTCAGCTTGGCCATAATTTGGCTTGATGAAGCATCCACATGGGCATGGTGTTAATGCGCTATTGATATTCAGCCAGGCAATTTCCCCTGCGTGGATCGGGCTTTGACTCGTTAGAGCCGAGCTGGGCACTGCAGCAGTAAATGAAGAGGAAAATTGAAGTAATGTTGTATTATAAATTTATGATTTCATCTGCCTGACCTAGAGAGCGTTGAGCGCTGGCGATGCAGGCGAGAGCCCCCCAGGCAGCTCCATCGGTTTGGCCGGGCACTGCTGCTGCACGCTGCCTCGGGTTCGGAGGCGGACGCACCGGGGCGGGAGCATCCCCGGCCCCCAGAGCATCCCAGAGCAGGGCAGTGGAATAGATGGCGTCCTGCACCGCG